TTCATCATTCGGGTCTCTTTCGTTTTTTCGTGCCACGCCCTCTTGTCGACGGCAACCTCAAAATACATATTCTACCGATTAATTTGACAGCACTGTACCCTCTTCGGAATTCCTTTCCCTCTCCCGCCGGATAATTTTCAAGCCAAGCCCGACTGGGAAGAATCGGGGAAAAGCGTCGAATAAGGGGGAATCGGGCAGGTTTTTCGCGAAAATAACTCAAATCGAGTTTTTCTTCCGAAACAACACAATGGTGGGAAAAAAAATTATTTTCCCTCCCGCACTTGCATCGCAGGTCACGTACTCGGGGGAAGCGTCTCTTTTTTCTTTTTTCTTCGCTGCTGAGGCTTCTAAACGCGCTGGGAGCACGTTCCTCATTGAAGGTTGCGGGCCTTTTACTACGAACCGGGCGTCTGGCATTAACGCGGTTTCGGGCGTGTGGCGTGACAGCGCGAAACGTGCTTCAAAAAGTCGACATGCTCTCTTCGGATTTAACGCCCCCCCCCCCCGCCCCTCCTTTGGGCATCGGCAAAAGCTGCCGGTTTCTTTTTTTTTTGCATCTTTTTCGCTGGACTTCTCTCATTTGGGGGTTCGTGGTCGTCTTGCGGGAAATCAGAAGTTTCGTCGAACATCTTTCCCATTTGCAAGTACCAAGCGTGCAAAAATCTGCACGAAAAATATTACAGTAAAATAAATTTTTCAATACCGAAAATATCACAAGGGATAAAATTGCACTCATACCCCAACGGCCACACCCATGTATCACGCGCAAATCTGACCATTCCCATACAAGGCTCCAAGAACCCGACAGAGAACAGCTTGAGTTGCCGAATCGAATACAAGAGACAAAGTCTCATTAAGGTATTCGGTATTTGTCAGCTAAAATCGAGGCGGATGCCTTTTGCCACTGGCAACTCCCAGTACTCTCAGTACCCTCAGTACACCTTGAGACGCGATCTCCAAACGATGATTTTTAATGCAATTCATAGAGACATTCATTATGTTAGAAAATTAGGTTTAAGACAAAATCTAGGATAATGTTGAGATCTTGAACTTTTCAGCCATTATTCCAGACCCTCTGAGATCGTGATGGTGAGGCCATGAAGATGCAACTGCCAAATTTCTCAATAACGCGAGAAGTGATCCGGTATGTACGGAGAAGGTTGAATTAGTAATATTGAGTTTAAATTATCGCTTCCCACTGTCTTACTCCCGTCTCACTCAGGCACTGGAAACTTCTCGCCGCCATAGGCTTATGGTCCATGCTCATCCTGTCGTTCACGTTTTATCCCGGAGTAAGACTGGTGTCCCAAAGAGAATCGATGAAGTCATTTCACCGCGACTTGTGCATTCTGGCTCATGATACAACGGAAAAATCGACCGGCTACAATGGAGCATCAGCAGAGACATTCATTGGTGGAAAGAACAGAGCATTTCCAGAAAAACTAAGGGAATTCCGAAGCACAGACTCAAGATCGAAATCGACGAAAAAGTTCCGGGCGTTGAATCCATCCTGCGAACTGTGGGCGGTCCTGTCAACTGTGCAAAAGCCATCTGAGGCGCTGAGAAGACTGCTACTTTCCAGAAAGTGGTGCATCATAGTGGTTGGGGACAAGAAAACTCCGAAGCCTTACACTATGCCATGGACAGTGACTGGAGACGTTGCTGTCGTTTACTTGAGTCCCGAGGAACAAGAGGAGATGAATCTCCCGCTTCAACGATATATTCCATGGAACAGTTTCAGCCGGAAGAACGTCGGATACCTCTACGCGGTGAAGCACGGTGCAAGGCTTATATGGGACTTCGACGATGATAATATGCTCAAGTTTTGGATAGACGGGGCAGGTACCTCCACTGCACCTTCTCTGGATCCTTTCCATAATCTAACAATGCAGTCGAACATATCCGTGGAATTCATGAAGGCGAATACGACCTCGACAACGACTTGGAACCCATATCCTTCCCTGGGCATCGAGTACATGCCGTGCTGGCCACGTGGAATGCCATTAAGTGAAATCCATCAAAACTCTTCCTACGTCATGAGAAGTGGCACTGGAAGCCTGAGCTGGAGAAAGGTGGGAGTGCTCCAATCAGTGGCAGACCTGCAACCAGATCTCGACGCCATATTTCGAATCTCTCATAAAATTATGGTATCGTTCAAAAGGAACAACATGACGCGGCCGGTGCTGAATCCCGATGGGATTTTCTCACCGTACAACGCACAGGCCACTCTCCACAACTATCCCGCATTCTGGGCCTTGCTTCTTCCAGCCACAGTCTCTGGGAGAGTGTCAGATATTTGGAGGAGCTACTTGGCACAACGGTTGTTCAGGGATGTTGGGCTGCATCTCGGATTCTTTGCTCGCCCTCTGGTCGTTCATGATCGAAATTCTCATTCTCTCGTTGGGGATCTCAAAGCAGAAGGTGATCTATATGAAAAGACGGAAAAATTAATTGAGTTCCTGAACGAGTGGGAAAGTGAAGCAAAAGATCTTCTCGCAAGAATGGAAGAGTTATGGATTGAAGCATACGAGAGGGACTACATCCAAATTGAGGATGTTTTCTTGCTCCAGGAATGGCTCAAGGCCCTTCAAGAAATTGGCTACGAATTTCCTGTCACCAGTCAAGCATCAAAAATGGTGACAGTTCCAATGTATGAAGATGCTATTAAAGGACGAGAACGTCCGAACGAAGGTAGAAAATGTTCCACAAAGGAGATATTAAACATTTGGTTTTCAGGGTGGCACATGGGAACATTAATGGACATCCCATCCGCTCTTCTGCAAATGGGACATCGAGTCATCTTCGAAGGTCATTTGAACAGATTTCCCAACCCAGGCGTGAAGGAGCACCCTAATGTGACCATATACCAGAAGATGTCTCAAACAGTCTCTAAATGGTGGCATCCAGGGGCCGAAAAGTATCACGATAATTCAGATGCAAGGGAACACTTCGAGTTCTACAAGGACGATCCAGTCGTGGCATCAGTGGACGTATTCATCTGCATGTTCCCAGCCGCTTTCTGCGAGCACTGGTTGCCATTCAACAAGAGCATCCTCTTCTTGCCCGCTACGCGATATTCACTAGGAAGATGCTACGACCTAGCGCAGTGGGATCTGATCGACAAGCACCTGAGGATCATGGAGGTCAGCGAGGATCCTCGTCATGTTATCTCTGCCAGCAGCGTTTACGACTCGGAGTACCTCAAGCATTACACTGGGATCAAGAATGTGATTCCTTTGTACAGTTATAGTGGTTTCTACACTCAGCAGTACAAATACAAGCCTGACAGGCCTGATGTTCTTGCCATAGCTGAATACACACTCGGCCCTGAACTCTGGTCGAAATTTGTCGACACTGCCGGCAAACGTGGAATCCACGTGAGCAACACGGAGAACCTTTACAACTCATTCTACAGAATGGGAAATTTGGTGAAACATCCCGCAATCGTGTACTTGCCTTACGCTGTCATGTCCTACAAGATCACCGAAATGTACGCTCTGGGCATCCCCTTGTTCATGCCGAGTCTCCGCTTCATGAGGAACGTAAAGAGACTCGTGGACGATCGAGGCAACCACTGCCAATCGAGCCAGGAGCAAGCGATCCGAGAAAGACCCGGCGTACCGACCTCCATCCACGTCTACGGCCCCAACGACTTCAAAGACAAAGCGCCGTACAGCTGGGACTCGTGGGAGGCCGAGTTCTATTGGCTCCAATTCGCCGATTACTTCACGTGGCCACACATTATTCTCTTCGACGATGTAGACGATTTCGTGGGAAAATTCAAGAAGACGAATCTGACATCCGTGCATGAGAAAATGATGGAAGAGAACGAAAAGAAGAGGAAGAGTCTGGAAGAAAATCTCTGTCTCGCGATGGAAAGACTGGATTTCGGTTTAAAGAGGAAATTCCCGACGGAATTCGAGGAAGCTGTTAGAGCAGCTGTTCATGACGATTTCTTGCTTCTCCCGAAATGACTTGCGAAAGGAAGGAAATAAATTTTGAGCGAATCGTTTGTGTAAACGTTTCTCCTCTCGAAAAGTTTAATGCCAAACAGACGACAAGCCTTTAGCAGAAACATCTGGCAATTTCGTGGTTATACGGCCTCTGCTTTTATTTTGAGGAAAATCGCGACGGTGGACTTTTCCTGGAAATTTGAAATTGGATGCATTAATTCTGTTTTCCGTCTGGCTGCGATCACCTCGTTAAAAATGTCTACGGGATGAAATATCTCCGACCAGCCTATTCTGATCGACCCAGTGCGAGCTTTCAAGCAATTGAATGGAAAGAAAACATCATGCAAATGAAATCTTGATGAGGAAACGCATGACCTTTCCTCGGGGTCGCGCCAAGGTCGACACACCCTGAAAACGAAAGTCGTCCTCGCGGAAGAATCAGCAACGTGGAACTTTCGTGCAATTTTCGGCCACGCCCGAAAATTGCACAAGTGCGGATGCTCTGCTTGGTGCCAGAGTCCAGTGCAGAAACCACGTTCTACAATATACACAAAATCACTATTACGAATGACGACTCATACCATCTGTTTTTGCTTGTCTTTAAGTAATCACTGCTCATTGCTCTTTTTTTACTTTTTTTAACATCCAGCATTGACGAACTCTGAATATTCTCGATTTCATTGTCTGTGCGGTGTTACGTCAATGTCCAAGCCCCAAAATCACATTCCAACAATCTTTGCCTAATATCAACTAGGCTTATTTACCCTCGAATCGTCCAACAGTTTCGTCTTGAGGGCATGGCAGAATAAGTCCCAGGGCATTTGTAGCTCAGCCTTTACTCGCGCCATTCTCACATAACTCGGTAAGTAAGCTCACTATTCAAAACGAGAACATGGACAGACAAAATGCTAGAATTTTGATCGAAAGGCCATTAACCCATCCCCAGAGCTACTCCATAGTTTTCCCATTATCAGCGGAATGCTGCAAATCCTTTACTCTGGGCAGTCCATGAGACTGCATTCGAGCCCAACACATGGAACACGAGCATGTAACGAAGACACAATCATAAATTTATTGTACTTCAGAATTGTCCAGAAAAAAGAGGGAAAATTTCCACTGAATACAGGATTCAGGAATAACAAGACAAAACTCATGCCAATCATGATCATCATAGTGGGAACATGGGGAGAGCGAAAAACGTCGGCCGGAAGTGACCGGGGGTGTCCAGACACACTCAACAACTGGGAGGAACATAACTCCCTACACGGACGAACGTCTTTGGAAAAAGACGCGAATTTGTGATGAGAAGAAAGAGGGAGAGTAAGAACAAGATCGAGAGATCACTACCGTTCCACTCGTGCGAGACATCAACAAATCGTTTATGCAATATCACATGGAAAAAAAATCAGACTCTCTCACACACATGGTAACTGAAGGGGACTGAATTGTATTGCAAAAGTTGTAGGAAAACCATGCAAAATCCTGTCCCATATTTAGCATGCATGGGGGAAATGAGACACATGGTAATTGTTCCAACTCACCAGGACCAAGCAGGTACAATTTGTTCAAAATTTCCAGAAACTCAAAAAGGCACTCTCGGGGGATATATATATATTTTTCCTATTTTCCTGGGAAACAGAGATCAAATGACTGGCTAGAACAAGGTTGAGACAATGAGTAAAGAGGGAAGGGCAGATGCAGGCATGACAAAATTTGTGCAGATTTCAGGACGAAAGATATCCCCATTGAATGCATTCTTTACGTGAAACGTTTGACATTTCTTCTCAAAATAATGTCCAGATATGGAGAAACATCATCATACGTTCTTTTTTGAGTAGAGGCCTGCACAAATCCAACACTAAAAGGTGAAGACCAGCACACTCAATTGCCTTCAAGAGATCAAACACGAGCAAATACGAACTCTGATTCTTTGCATGTGAGCTCCAATTATATCATTTTTTCAAACTTTCTACTTGCACAACAATTTGTGAAGCGTGAAAATGGACACAATTTCCATTCATGATTAATTAGCATAGAGCATTTCTGTTACCTTGTGCACTACCTCATTTTGAACTCAAAGAAATTACCATACCTTTCCTAATTAACATGAAAAGAATCACCACCCACAGTTTGCAAATATGAAGTACCCAAACCAATGCCCACAAAACCTGAACTGAATTGAACACTCCAATGACTTCAATATCTTCAGCACATACTGAGCTCAAATTTGATTCTGTACAAGCTCACCAAACTGGATTCATACTGGCCTCTACTTTCACGCTGACTAGCACACGCTGATCACATGAATGCCAACAAGGGATAATGATACTGATCAATAGTCAAAACTCTGATCTGATGCAACAACAAGCAAGTCGGAGGGAGAAGCACGATCTCCTCACCCGTTATTGCACTTTGGGTCACCTTTGACAGCGGCAGGTCACCGGGTGATGCTTGATGCCACTTGATTTTGTAGGAGTGGAATGAGCTTGAACTTAACGTCCATTAATGCCCATCGAAGAGGATGTGGTGGTTCCTCGGCATATCACAAAGGACAACAGGGATAACACCGGCATTGTGTTGGGGACCGAGGATCACAAGAGAGTGCGGTCGAGTCGAAAGTGGTCCTCGGTGGCTGGGTCGGTCACGATGTTCTCGTTCAGCGTCCGCAGGTCCATCTCGGTCAGGCCTCCATGGGTCATTGACAGGACAGTCTCCTAGATGCGACAACAACATTCCAACTCAATGTCAAGCAAGCCCTTCCAATTCTTGCTTTAGCCAACTCTAGTAAACAGAAACTTGTTTTTAAAATATTTCATAAACCCACATGTTACTTATATTAAAGCATGTGAGAAAAACAAGCAGAAAATCATGTGTTTAAGGGGACTACTAATTTCCAAATGTTCCATTCCAAGGTAACTTGTTCTTTTTTAATGGCATCATATATTACAAAGGGCCATGAGCAAAATTTATCTAAGGAATATTCAAGTTCAATTCAAATGTGGACCTTTTGGAGTATGACTCATAGATTATACTTGAGCACCATGCATGATGTGGAATGAGAGATATTTAGGGCGACAGAGTTACACAAGAAGTGTTTAGCCAAAGAGAATTAAGAGAAAACAAGAGCTTTGTCTTCACCCTTAGAGCATCCTCAGTGGAGAAGAAACTTGAGTCCAGTTCCCCACCCATCAATTCCACTGCGTTGCACAGTTCCAAGCCCAAGTCTCGACTGAGAAGAGCAGAGTCTCCATCCCTAGTGAACTCGTCCAGGTTGTTGGAAAAGTCTGTCCACATGGAAGGATAGACTGAAAATCAACATCTTTGCCATGGCATCAAATGAAAAATGATTCAAACATTCTCTGCTAAGATGCACCTGAGAGTGTGATTTCAGGGATGCTGGATGGTGTTTGAGGGGTTTGGGGAGTGGTGCCATTGGTGGCCAGTGAGGATATCCCCTGACCACTGCTTTGGAAGAGCGCCGCCATATATTCGTCTAAAGGATCTTGCCCAGTTGTTGTCATCAGGCTCATCTGATCCTGATTGGCACAGAGATAATAATAAAATCAATTCAGCTATTCTATTCATGAGGTGAAATTTGAAATATATGGAGGAATAATATGAAAAGCAATAATGCCATTTGTGCCAGTAGGTAAATTATCATGGGCAATTATTGTTCATTACTTTCATCTGGCAATGCAAATGCCTCATTCACTGCATCCTTTGCTTGGTAAATCCTTGATGGCTATGCACCTAGACATTGGGACTGTTAAAATGAAACTTTGAAAACAATGATGCATATGTTTTGTACGATTCATGAACGATTGTACGATTGTGCGCATTGAGCAAGTTTTTGCTTAATGCACACAAAAAATTGCATGATTGCATATTTCATGAAACAAGTAAATGGAGTTCCAAGGAGGAAGTTTTTCAAATCAATAAGATGTACCCATTCTTCTCTCCTATAAGGTTTTCTCTCAGATTGTGACACAGCTGTCGTGTGGATGCTGAGCTGGAGTTTAAATGGGTCATGGGCATAACGAGACAGTCAGACAGTCAGCACTCCCCCAACAATGGGCCAGTGACAACCTTATTTCAAACATGGTTACTATCTGTGTCACTGAATATGATTGAGATGAAACTGATCCCCAAAATGTAACTGGATTGGCATAGGAAAGGAAAGACAGAAAGCACAAGATCAGAGCAACAGATGGGACAATCAACATCTGCATGGAAAGTAACGTGGTGAAATCAGTGAAAGTGAAGATCATGAAAATGCAAGGCATCAACACTGAGGAGAAGCAATTGCAAATTCGTTATTGCCATCTCAAAAGGTAGGAGATAGGGCTTCAGAAAATGCCATTGTAAGGCCAAACCTCAAGATGCTCTTGTAAGAAACGAAGGATTAGATGTTTGAGCTCATGCCATTGGTAATACCTGCCTGAATCACCAATGAATATCATTTGGTTGATGGTATTGTCAAATGGCCATTAATTCCTGAAGACATGGCTACATCATTTCAACAAAATTGTCAAAAGATTTCAATGTAATTGAAAACGTATAAATCAAATTGGTGATTGCTCAATGCATGCAATAGGGAGCATTTTTTCACTGATTGCACACATTTTGCAAGAAAATTCCTCATACCATGCAATGAGCACAATGGTTGCATTTTTCATGAAATCGGCAAAAACTAGAGATCCAACGGTATTTTATCGGTTATCGGTATCGGCCGATATTAGGTGAATCCGATGTATCGGCCTAAAACGATATATGACCTGCCGATAACCGATATTGAAATTACACCTGAAGTATGCCAAAAGCTAAGTATGTATAGCGAATTATGAATATTCTCACCTTTTTCCCATTAGACAACATTTCACTTGACTCGAACACACGTTCATAGGATGTTCCTCATGCATGAGTGTCAAAGTCAAGTGAAAAAATGTCCAACTCAAGTGAAAACGCTGCAGACGGTTGAAAATGCCTAAATGACCCGTTTTAAAAAAAGAAGTATTAGGCTGCTGAAAATATATTAGCATTTTCCCCCTTTGCATTGGGATTCCCCTGGGATTCGACCTTCACTGCAGCGGTTCCTCAACGTCCCACATCTAGAGATAGGAGCGCTCTATGCTGGGGTACTCCCTTCCCAAGCACACTGGCGCTTTAACTAGGAAATATACACTTGACTTGGCTAGGTTCGAGCCCAGGCCACCCTGTCACAGGACATAAGCTCATTACACAGTCACCTGGGAAAGAGATAAGCGTCATCTACTTAACTCGACCTAATGCCACTACCACAGCCTACTCCGTATTTTCTGCGAAAATAGACATCGCTTATGTTAGTGCGAAGAACCCAAGCCTAGATGGATCCCAAAACCTTGGTACAAAAATCACTAGACTATAGTCTGATTTCAACTCTTTTGTGCCCAGAGGTTCCATTTGGAACCACCGATTTTCAAGAATTTTTTCCTCTTTATATTCATGTTAGGACCGTGCTGATGGCCACATTTGACTGGTAGACTGATGGCGCATTTTGAACTCGTACCCATTGACTGGTGCTGGAGCTGATGATGATTTATACTCTATAGATTGCGAAAGTAACATGAAATTGCATACGAATTCAAATAGGCCTATTTGGAAGCCTTATGATACTAATCAATGAGTCTCCTGAAAACGATAGTGACCACTTTTAGACCTTTCCAGCCTGTCTGTCTGTGTCCGCCATGGTTACCTATTGCTGACATGAGGGCTTAACGGCACTACTCGCTAATGCACAGCATAAAAGGAGATGCAATTATTTCACTGTCTTTACGGCTGTTTTCCTCCACCAGTTCCTACAATCGGGCTAAAATACAGTAAGTCTTTGATTTACGTCATGGATGCATTCCCGGAAAACACTACGTAAAACTAAACCTTTTTTCCCATGGACTAAATTATATACAGGAAGTCCTCGATATACATCATCATATCGGGACGACGCAATGAATATGGGGTATATGTTAGCAACATTATATCGGAACGACGTAAATCGAGGACTCCTCACATGATCTGATGGATACTTTTTTCTGGGAGAGGATGGCAGGGAAGGCTTTCAGCGAGACAGGCAACAAGACAGGCTCACACTCACGCAGTTTCTTTTTTGCATTTTGCCCTCTTTCAGGCTTCAGCATCGACAGCTTCCAACCTTACCGTAGCCATGGCGTCAATGGTGCAACACCAGAGGCAAATCTCTGGTTGTCAATACGTCGGTACAGCCTTAATTTATCAAAAATATTAATGTCATAATTTATATTCGAATATTTATAATACATTACATAAATATATTTGTAGATAAAAACTTCTGTAATACAATAAATATGATTGATTGCCTTAGAAATTTTCCTGAAAAGCAGTTATGTTCGCATTTTATCTTCATTGAAAATTACCTGATGTATTAACAATTTGTCAGTCGTGTCTGTCTGGGTGTCCATTAGAGGTATGAAGGAGGGAACTTTGACATTCTTTGAACTGAGTGCTACTTTGGAAAAAAAAAAAGAATTGCTTATTGCAAGTTCTAGGATGGAACATAGGAAATAAAATGCCTGATGCAAATCCAATGTAATACTAGGTTGAGGAAAAAGTTCGTGCGCAGTGTTAAAATAATGATTTTTTATGCAAGAATTTATTCAAAAAGAACAACAACTATTCTTCAAAATAAAGACCATCATTGTCCACGACCTTCTGCCAACGATCTGCAAGCTTTCAGATTTGGTCAAAGTACCACTCCTTCGGCTTTGAATCGAAAAATTCTTGACATGCTTCTTCAACTTCATCGAATGACTCAAATCGGCGACCTTTCATAAAGTGCTGCATTGATCGGAAGAGACCGTAGTCATGTGGAGCAACGTCTGGACTATAGGCTGGACGTGGCAGAACTTCGACACCGTCCAATTCTTCAAACTTGTTGCTGGTCTTTCTGGCGGTATGCGGCTTTGCATTGTCTTGTTGAAACAAAGTGCGTTTTTGACGAACAAGACTTGGGTACTTTTCAACCAGCGCATCGTAGACTCGATCAAGTTGCTCGCAGTAAAGTTCAGCGTTGATGGCGATTTCAATGAAGGCGATTTGGATCTTGAAGACAGGCCACGTTCCGGACGACCAACGGTTCTGGACGAAGGAGACTTGCAAGCCGCTTTGGATGTTGAGCCGTCATCAAGCACACGCGAATTGGCTGAAGAACTTGGTGTCGATCAGAAGACAGTTTGGAATCATCTCAAGCAACTTGACTTCGTCCAGAAAAGGCCACGACAAGATCCACACGAGTTGACCGAAGCGCAAGCCGCCAAACGAGTCTAAATTTGCCGCCAATTGCTCAACAATCATGATCTTCTTTCCAAATTGATTTTGCTTTGGAACGGATGGAGGAGTTCGACCTTTTGGGACCCAACGCTTGCTTCAATCGTGATTGACCAGGTAGACCCACTTCTCGTCTGATGTCACAATTAAATCATGATCTTCTTTCCAAATTGATTTTGCTTTGGAACGGATGGAGGAGTTTGACCTTTTGGGACCCAATGCTTGCTTCGATCGTGATTGACCAGGTAGACCCACTTCTCGTCTGATATCACAATTCGCTTCCAAAAATGGTCATCCAACGGATTGTTGAGCAATTGGCGGCAAATTTCGACTCGTTTGGTGGCTTGCGCTTCGGTCAACTCGCGTGGATCTTGTCGTGGCTTTTTGTGGACGAAGTCAAGTTGCTTGAGATGATTCCAAACTGTCTTCTGATCGACACCAAGTTCTTCAGCCAATTCGCGTGTGCTTGATGACGGCTCAACATCCAAAGCGGCTTGCAAGTCTCCTTCGTCCAGAACCGTTGGTCGTCCGGAACGTGGCCTGTCTTCAAGATCCAAATCGCCTTCATTGAAACACTTGAACCATTTCTGTGCAGTTCGCGGTGCCACCGTACCTTCACCTTCAATGTCGCAAATTGCTTTGGCTCTTGCATCCAAATTCTCCAATAATGACGCAGCAATACGCGAAGCTCAAAATTTGTGATTTTGTAATCAGACATCTTAAAAAATCAATAAAATTTCATAATAGCCACGAAACCAGATCAAAAACACAAAAAAATATATAAAATCATTATTTTAATACGGTGCACGAACTTTTTCCTCAACCTAGTATCACAATCCCTTCTGAAATTCGCAATTCCATCTTGAGTCTCGCAATTCATTTGTGGATTTTTCATCCATTACGAGGGATTGTCTGTCATGGGTGACCTCAGTTTCATCCAGAAGATGAATATTTTTATTTGGTTTGATAATTTGAAGAGAGCAAATTTGTGCAGGGAAAAATTGGAAATGTCTTCAGTTTGTGTCCAAATGTCTCAGTTCCTGATGAAAAGATCATGAAGGCAATTCATGAGAGGTTTCTGAACCTGAAGAGATTCATCTGTGGACCTATGACTACCTAGATATGCTGAAACAGGCCATTCAAGATGCCCTCACCACAGCAGGATCAGAGATGATAGAAAGAAGTCTGTTGGCATTCAAAGAGAGACTGCACCAAGTCACTGAAATTGTGGAAGTCATATTGAACACTAGTGATTTGGGTGCTTTCATTTGTAAGGGTGTAACTTTGTCTCAGTTTGATGGAAAATATTGAAAATGTTCACAATAAAAATATATTGCATTGGCTACCAAGAGAGCTATATATCATTGAAATCGGATGCATACTTCCTGAGTAATAGGCTTTTACTTTTGGGAGATAATTGTGGACCACCCTGTATGTAAAGCAGAGTCCAAGTCATACACTGAACAACTGGAGCAGGCCAGTTGCCTGCTTGAACTCGTGATACCATTTTTCATTTAATTTGCTCAACTTTTCCATCTTTTCCAACTTTGCCAAGGGGAGGAGGAAGGGTTGGGAAAAAAAAATTCCAAATAGCACTGACAAAGACAAAATTATGAAGTATGGTTCTGAACTGCTACAACAGTTCTGAACTGAACTGAAACATTTAGGGTTAATTGGGTGAGTCATGACCTGGGATAGCAGGCATGATAGGCCAATTACAAGAGATGACTTTGCATGAATAACCTGATATCAGACATTGCCTGATGTCTTTCCTAGCACATAACTATGGTGTGTTTTTTGCTATTACACAACATGAAGTGTTTTGTCATGACTCAGGTTACATTCAAATGTACCCACTGAAATTATTTGCAGAACTGCCTCTTCTTATTAGGGCAGAAAAAAGAATGAAGATAGTGGTAACAAAGAGAGCTTCGCTTTTTTACCACTCACACGAGTAATGAGATCAGCGAAGGTCCTGGCCTGTTCCAGTCCTATTTCCTGAGCAAGAGTCATAGCATCCCGATGTATGAGTCCCATCTGTAACACACAACCCCCAGCTACTGTATTTTTTGAAACATTAGACAAGTATAATATTTCTCTCAAATCAGAGAAACCATCTCAGGCAGAGGAAACTGAAATAGTGCAATATTGACAGGTAAATCTTAAGCACCACCCTCAACATATTAATTGCCATGGATGTAAAACCTACATATATTGGGTATCTCAGAATTCACTTTCCATTTAACAAATGTACGCCTATAGTTAATGACATTAACTACCTCAAAGTAACAGATAGATCTAGAAGATAAAAATTTATATTGAGTTATTCATGAAGAGAGGCTTTAATCATTTCCATGGCATCGGAGTAATACTATGTCAATATTCTTGAAACATTTGGATATCCTTACCATGGAAAGGGTTCATGGCTCTCTACAAACATCCTCAGCATAAAAGTCCATGCATTTAGTTTAATTGAATTATGGTAGATGTATGCATTGGGCCAAAAACCCCACCTAGGATGCTCTGATGAATCATGAACACAGTTGCTCTAAAATAATCTTCTTCAAGTTCAAAATGTCTTGAACTCTCAGGCTTTAGAGTGGACTGCTTTCAATCCTTTTTATTTTGCATGTTAGGATTTGTATGCATACTTGACCTAAAGACGAAGAAGAAACAACTTTTCAAAGGGAAGAGACAAAATTATATATTAAAAATCTATGTTTCAGTCATTTCTTTTGGAGCAAAGAAATATCTGAAAGATAGCTGTGATACTCATGGCATCAAATACAAGAGATGAACATGGCATGCGAGGATTGTAATGATTGGATGTAACAAACTTCAGGCAATCCAGCACTATCCTTTGCTATATCCAGGGCTATTGGAATTTTATGTATTTTTCAGAATGGCAAGATTAAATTGCCCTATTTCATATTTAAGCAAAGTACTACTCAGGGGGTTTCTTAACTCAATAAGTCTAAGCTGAGAATTTGTTATTGATGGAGTTTTCAGCAAATACTTATTTCCAAAATTAAAGTATTATTAATTATTTTTCATATAATTGCATTTCCATGCAATAATGAATATTAGTGAATAATATCTATTGTAGCACCATCAACAAGAAATATAAATGTGGTAGGTACTCTCACTCACTAAATCTCCAGACTCCAGCATCATAGATGATTAAGTTGCAAACTTGTTTGAGATAGAAAGCTGATGGGAGGTTAAGTTTAACCCTGCAACTATTATTCTGGGTCCAATGGACTCTTGGTACAAAAAGTTGGCTATTTGTAGAGGCTGTACTATATAAACCTGCAAAGTTCAATATTCTGCATATTTTCGTGAAGACATGTAATAATAATTGTTTGCCCAATTTTAAAGAGATTCTTTGGGAATGAAGAGATAAAAAATGAAATAAAGAGTTAAATAGATTCCTCAGATGAATAAATGGAAGAAGTCACAACTCTTTCAACAACATATGCCTACTCCCTTTCTGCCCTCCATCAGGAAAATGGGATTAGGACTACTGTAAGAGTGAGACCAAAAGATTATGTACAATATGGAATAACAAATTTAGTAATTCTGCAAGGTGGGACAATAACATGCAAAGGACAAAAAAGGTAGCAGGTAGCATTTGCTATTATCCATTTAGGAACTAATGACTCCTACAATAAGGAAAAATGAGATCAAAGTGCTTAGAGAAATAAACAAACAGGGCCTAAGCACAGCATACCATAGGCCCACTCAGATCCTGCCGGACCCAAACTCCTAAGTGCTGGGAGCCTGTAGTACCACGGTCACGGCAAAACATTGAATTCGAGTTTGCAATCCCTGTGATCAGGTGCTTGCCAGTTGGATCCAGCTTCACATACCTGAAAGCAGAGTATTCAAGCTTGATCAAAGGGATAATACATCTCTTCCATCAATTAAAAGGTCCAGAATGCCCTAAACAGCCAGTTCGTTAGAGGGTTCATACAGTGTATTACTGTGTCAAACAAGAACACACCTCAAACAAAGCTATCATGTCAAACAGTGCAGAGTTTACTCTTAAGCAAAGTATCCACCATTCCTCCTGGATATGCTTCAACAAAGTATAGGACTTACTTGATTTTATCACGTTCACATGCAGTCTGTAGCCTCACAAGTTCAGTACCACTCTTCCAGTCCCAAAAAACAATATGATTCCCAATAGCATACAGGAGGAGAGGGTCACTGGGGTGAAATGCAAGGGAAGCTACACCTGTACTTCCATTCCCGGGTGTCACCACTTGGCATTCCTCACTCTATACAATTCAGGAAAGAATATACCATCAACTGAAAGCCCTTATATCAGGAAAATCACCAACATTCTCATCTGTAATGGAAAATTCCTGGTACTTTCAATCAGAAATTTCCTTGTGCAAATTATCTGAATTACCTTCAGATCCCAAATTCGCACAGATCCAGCAAGACACCCTGAGGCAAGCATGTTCTCCATCTTGGGATGAAAAGCCAAAGACCAAGGGGATCTTTCATGACCTCTTAGCTCATGGATGCATTTGCGGGTCGCTATCTCAGTCACATATATCATGTGATTCTTGTGAGTGGAAGCAACAATATGCCTTTAGGAATAGAACACAGAAAAATGGATTGAGACTGAGTTGCTGTGGTGTGCAGGCAGCAACACAAGGATGTACAGATTAACTCACCCACTGGGGCTGAATGCCATCACAAAGGTAGACATGGGATTCCCAGGTAACATGCATTTCTAGAAAGAAATTGACAATCATGTTGTAAGAAGAGGCCAAAGAATCTTCAAATGCACATGTAAAAGCCATGTTGAATAACCTGTCCTGATAAGGAATGCCCCTACATCAACTAGCCTAGAGGCCAATATGATTTACTGGACTTATCCTGATAAAACCAGGACTATGACATATGTTTAGTATGGCTTATTTCCCAAAATGTAAAAAAATATCATTTCACAATGATACAGACCTAAACTTACAGTTACCACTTTTATAATAGGCATGAAACTTTTATTATTTACCTGATAAGGTGATGGCAAAGTGCTACCAATACTTTGTATACCAGTGGCACTAATCATAAACAAGCTGTGATCTTTTCAAAATAAATTCCCTTCAATATCCAGCCCCCTATGCCTAAAACCAGCTAGGCCTAGGATGTATTATTGCAACAAACTCACAGAGATCTTTAGCCAATGCTGGTTAGCTAAGATATCTTCTGCAAATTCTTCTCTCTGCCTCTTGAATTTTTTCCGAACATGTGATCCACTGTCTATTCCAAGTTCATGTGTCATCAAGCTAGGGATCCATCCTCCATCCATGGAATTACACTTCTTAGGAGGAGCAGGATGATGACCAGACATATGGAAAAGTTAGACCTACTTTAAAAAAAAAAACTTCATTTAGAGATGTGTGTAATTTCATGGAATAGTATAAATGAGGCCTGTTCCCATGGATCTAGGGCTATGGTAACCCTGCTCTACTGACAGGCAGACCATTACCTATTGACCCTTCCCTCAAAAATCTGCTATTGATATTGAAAAAAGATATTGACTCCTCCAGGGTGAGAAAATTGATCAATGCATCACAATATTTTATATTCTTTCAAATGAATATTTGGTAGCATGCTGAAAAAGCTCACAAAAACTGCAAATCATGAATTTTAATGAAATGTTTGCTAATCAACTCTCAGGACATCTATCACCCCTTGTGAGAAAATAGAATGGAGCATCAAAATTAGAAGAGCATACAAAGAGCATTTGGGGTGTTGGGGTGAAGTGAAAAAATTCAAACTCACTGTGAAAAACAAAACAAGGGATGGATTTTTTAATCAAGCACTATCTGATAATGCAGCTTTACTTTCAGGATATATGGAGCAGATTTTTAAAGAGAACTATTCAATAATGCAGCCTTATTTTCAGAAAATACAATGTAAAGCTGCAATATCGGATAGTGCGCTGTTCAAAAATCCACCCTTGATCTGATAACTCAAACTTAAACTTAAAATTTGAAAATCATGTGCAAATGATTTATTTTTCCCACTATTAACATTGAACAAGCTATTTCTAAGGTGCCCAGAAGGAGTTTAGGGAATATCTCCCATGAAAGGAAGCAAAATGCCTATGAAGTCCACGATAACGGGAGTACGAATTCATTCGTTGACCCCTGTACTGCAGGCCGATGCATCGCATATCCACATGAAAACCATACCTTATTGTGCTGTGCTACGCCTTAGCCACGCAGTCTAGGCCTAGCTTGACAAATCTGATGAGATTGGCTACCGATTCTGTCTTCCTAGACCCAAGCCTAAGACTACAGTGCTATCCTCTTGCATCAGACTTCTTCCTTTGATTTCAACCTTCATGCATAAGACCTTTCTCATGTATGAGTGTCGCAGTCAGGCAAAAAACTGTCAGACTCGAGTGGAAAAACACTGTACCTGTTTGTTTTTAAAAACATCAAAACAAAATCGCCATATGTAACACCCTGTCCTTACATCGCACTTCGTCACGGTTGTCGAAGCCCCGGTCGCATCTTCCAAGTGACCAACGCGGATGAGACGGATAGAAGAAAGTTTGAATGAAATGCCTTTTGTCACAAGAGGCATAATTTCGCTGTAGTATTTTTCGCTGCGGAATGGATTACAGCCGTTCGGCCAAAAATGAGCCCTCCCTTATTGGATCAGCCATGGTGGGATGGGGGAGGGGCAGGCGAGGCGGGCGGTTCACTGGGTTGGATACACTGCGATTGCATTTAAAAGCCTTTGAGAGAAAGGAGCCTAGAAGCCTTTGAAATGCTGCAAATTGGTTCATGCGAACATGACCAAAAATGCAACATTATTCGCGGAAAAACAGTCCTAATGTCTCCCAATACCCAGCTCGCGAATGGGGTGATGGCTCGCTCAAAGAGCGACGTTTCCAGTGGCGTAGGCAGAAAATCGGCAAGGGAGGGGTTGAGGCCAGGTAGACACCCCAACCCTACGCTTAGCGCCACCACCCGGAATTTACCTTTTTGAAGAAATCATGGTCTGGCATCTTGGGTCTGTGGATGGACATTAGACTTTCCTCGAAGGGGGATAACTAAAACTGGAATTTCCAATGGAGGCTGAAATATGCCTGACTGTCACTGACCAGGAAGCCCAAGGGTTTGACCCCCTAAGCCCCCCCCTTCCCTACGCCACTGGACGTTTCCCCCACATTCCAGAGGCTTTCTTCAGAGTTTATCCCCTTCAGTTCTGGGGGGACTCAGGAGTCCCACTTTTTGTCGCATATTTTGCAGTACTGTACAGGAATACACGGCCTTGGGGCATAGTAAGCCTTCTGAGTTCTCTTTTGGAATTATTTTCAAGCATGTTTGTAGTTAAAGACGTTTCATTGTGGACAGTTAAACAAGGAAATTTCGTTTTTACATCATTTCTATTTTAAAATTCAGAACTGAAATGGCTTCCTCCGATTCATCATGACATTGGGATGGTCTGACCTCGTGTAAAATTTTCAACAAAAAAGGGGCTTAAATTGTGAGAAAAAAAATCAATGAATGCTCGGCAGTTCGTGTGCTTGGGAAAGAAGAAACGGCTGATGCTATGCAGGAACACCTGTCGGCTCCTCGTCTTTCCCAATGGTTCATGTTCAACCATGCGTTGAACAGCCTTCGCGTGTGTTCTGAGCCATGCTTCCTAGGAATGCGTTTCCTTATTCCGATGCGAGTGCAACGACTCCAGAAATTAGCTTCAAATAGCATTAGGCCCTTTGGTACGAGATAATCATCCTCAGTTGGGGAAGGGAAAGGCGACCTTGCATTTAATATCGAATTCACAATCTTCGAAAGAGCGATGGCGTCAATCGATAAGGTCGGGGATGGGGTCGGCATCACATGGTGGTGTGGAAGTCTCAGTTCAAGACCCTTCACTTCTGCCTGGTCGAAGGAACACGCGACAAAATGACGCACGTTAAATGTAAAACTGTCTGCTGCAGTACAAGTGTCGACCTCCAACGACTGAATGGAGAATTAATTTCCAGGAATCTTACAGGACGCAGTGAGAGACGATGCGTTCTATTTGGCGCAGTCACTTCACGAGTCCTTTGAGAATGACCATGGTCGGGAGATTGAAGCAGTGGCGTAGGGAAGGGGGAGGTTTAGGGGGTTAGAACCCCCCCCCTGGGCTTCCTGGTCAGTGACACTGACAGGCATATTTAAACCTTCATTGGGAATTCCAATGTTAGCTATGCCCCTTCGAGAAAAGTCTGATGTCCGTCCACAGACCCAAGATGCCAGACCATGGTTTCTTGGAAAAGGTAAATTCCGGCTAGTGGAGCTAGGCGTAGGGTTGGGGTGTCTACCTGGCCTCAATCCCCCCCTCCCCCCCTTGCCGATTTCCTGCCTACGCCACTGGATTGAAGTATCACGAAGTCCAACGGATCACCTCTGGACAGATTCTAAATAGGATCATGTACTGCGTGCGGATTAAACTCCGATAAGGAGCCTGCCTTTGGGAAGTCGGGGCAGATTGCATCTGAACAATCTTCAAGAAAGCTTTAGAAGATGGGGCTTGCTCGTAGGTTTCGGGGGGGGGGAGAGGACACTTACCAAACGGAGGGAATTATACCTGTTAACCCTGCAGTAGTCGCGTAGGGTATTTTATTTCCAACCCAGGCATTAAGAGCGCATCAGAGGCATGTATTGTTTTGTTTGAATTGGACAACTCAGTACCTTTTGAATATGATAACCACGCGAGATTCTCTTGGGTAGTACTAACATGCAGCAGAACATACAGATGCACAAATCTGTAGTGTTTTTATTTATTTTTTATTCCCCAAACATCGCTCGGAAATTTATTCCCCCTTGCGATCACTAATGAGGATAAAATCCACGCGACTACTAAAGGGTTAACGGCGTTCAGGTTCGAAAGAAAATCAGATGATATATGGCGACCCTTATGCCTTCCAGTTTGTGTTGCTATCACAGGGACTCCGGACTTCATTTTCTTGCTCCAACAAACGAGACTGACTCAAACTGAAGGCTGTAACCCTCTAGAAAGGCAGGACACTTCCGCACAGTAGCGTGCCCAGAAAATCCCCCCCAATTTTGAATTTTCGTATGATTTTCGAATTGAGGGCATGAATCTCGCGAGGGGTGGGTGTAGTGCAAGGTTGCAAGCCCAGAACACGAACATCGTGGCTGGGGATGTTGCAGTGGTGGGAAAGTGAACTGTGCGGAAGTGTCCTGCCTTTCTAGAGGGTTACAGCCTTCAGTTTGAGTCAGTCTCGTTTGTTGGAGCAAGAAAATGAAGTCCGGAGTCCCTGTGATAGCAACACAAACTGGAAGGCATAAGGGCTGGAATAAAACCATGTGATAGGAGTGGAGATTTTGATGACCAACCTCATAAAAGCGAGGAAACGTAGTATATGTAGATATGTTCTCCGCTTACAGAAGTCCCATAAACTACTGTTAAAAAGAAATTGAAAAAGGAGCATATGTATATCAGACAAATTTTCAGTTTATCGGGATTTTCCCCCCACCTGTTTCTAGCAAGCCTTTCGATTTTGCGTTTGGTCGGGTTTGCTGAGGTTGGGTCCATTCCTAGGTTTGAGGGGAGAAGTGTGATTTCATCCATTCCTCTCTCAGCGCCTCTGAACCAATGGGATCGTTTCACACCTTTTCACAGTTCACATTCAACTGCATCAACAGAAACGTTCCAGTATTTACATCGTTTCCCGAATGAGCTGTCAATCTGCATTTTACAATGTAAAGTTTAGGGGACTCTGTATATAAATGGGATTAACATACAAAGTCCCTGCTATCTAAATTGTACATAGCATGGACTTTTAGACGACTCACTGGCAGATAGGCATGTATGTTCCATGGAATTAGTGACAAAATGCGATGATTCACTTTCCCACCACTGCAACATCCCCAGCCACGATGTTCGTGTTCTGGGCTTGCAACCTTGCACTACACCCACCCCTCGCGAGATTCATGCCCTCAATTCGAAAATCATACGAAAATTCAAAATTGGAACCTGCGTCCCTCTCAGCTTTATCATCCACTGTCCTGTTAGATCTTGTTCTTCTCACTTCTTATGGCTCCGTCAAGGTACATTCTATGATTCCCTGATGAGGTCTCTAAGAGTGGCCAGCAAAGATCATTTCTAGTGCTTTTTCTTTCGAAATTTGTATTGTCGATTTTTGAAAAATGATAAGTTCAGTTCTATATGTAGCATTAAATACTGTAACTGCTCGGAAATAACTTCGTTAGTTGGTTAGCCTTCTGAAGCATATTGAGATGGCACAGAAAGTGAGAGGAGAGCTTTTTTGTGACAGTAGATTCATTGCATGAGCCAAAGGAAAACTTTCCATGCATGTCAGCCATCAGGACATTTGGCAAAAGTATTAAAATAAGTAATATATTAATGTGATCATTCTCCAAGTCCTCTCCACTAATTAGATGTTACACTCTGAAAGCTATCTTGCAACTGTAACCCTCTGTTGCACAGCTCTACAGAACTGTTCCCACAAGGATCTCCATTGCCATCTATTAAATCTAATAAAGTCAGTTGACCGTTGTGGCATAAGATTTACTTGATAAAGGTCATGTGCAGTGGCGTATTTTACAGGGGGGGCAGCCGCCTCCCCCCCTGGCGCCCCCTTGGAGGAAATAATTTTCTCACCTGATATCACTCGGGTGGAGTTTGGCGCCCCCGCTCTGTTGCCTTGCCCCCCCCTCCCCCCCCCCGACCCTTCAGCCAAAATACGCCACTGGTCATGTGTATTTCTATATTTTCATGTGGAACTGCTCCCCATGACCTTCAATTCCACAGAATTTCATGAGGCATTGTAAAGAAATCAAATTAGTCCAGAGCTGATCAGTTTGAGAAAAAAAGTCAGGATAAGGGCTTTCAAAATGGATTTTCAGGTGAGTGATCACTGTGTAACTTCGCGATGTCTGACATTTCAATCAATGTCACTAGACGTTGGGAAAGGCATATAATATCACGGTTCCTGCACACAAATACATGAGCATTGGGAAAGATGATTCAATCCCTTTATGAGTGGGAGTGTAATTTACAGCATATGATAGCTTCTTTGGAGTGGAAACTTGTACCTCTATGGGCTTATTGATCCCATTATGATATCCTCATATCTGGAATGAATCTGTCTTGTTATAGGAGGCTTCTTTTCAATGCTTATGGACTTGGTTCTCTTGAAAAGTAGCATTATAACTTTTTTTGTTAAGTTTTGAGCATTAAATAAATCAGGTGTGGGGGATATAGTAAAAACTGACAAAATGAAAAGCCTGGATAAGGTGATTCAGGTTAGTCCAGACTTGATCCGAATGAGCAAGGAAGTCGAGATGAGTGAATTCTAGGTAGATGTTCAGGCACATGATTGCAACCCAGCAAAAAGTTCAGCCCAGAAATATTACTAGTTTTACTCAGTTTGTGATGGACTATTCGAGCTGGTGGATTGCCATGCAGGAAATGTCACTGGTTCCAAATGGGAATTGGAAGGTAGGCATGTTCCGACTGGAATATGCAGAGATCTGGCAGAATAAAGCATGAAATTCCTGATGAATCCTGCTGTTCCATTCCAACTGGAAACAGCATACCAATTTACAACTAGTCTTGTAGGAAATGCTGTATTTCCTGCTGGAAGTGGGTTACATTTACAGATGGAAAGCTTGTTGTTTCTATCTAGCTGGAACTTTTTGCTGGGAATGCAACATCACTGTGGTTGAAATTTCAATCGATGTTCCCAGATGTCAGGTAAGGTGTGTGTTACAGTTCCCAAGCAATTTAGCATGTTCATTCATCTGGATAGATGAATGAACCCCTTTCATGGGTGACAGGGCAATTGAGAGTATATGCTAAGTACATGCAAGATAAAAAATTACATTCTTAATTCTCCTCTACTTTCATCCCAACTCAATGCAGGGAAATAACAGGTTCAGATTTTGTTGCAAAGGAGGACAGATACACCCAGCAAACAATTTGAAATACATAACATTGAATCAACATTGAATAAGCGTTTGGAACATTGATACAACATTGGTCCAATGTAGCCTTGTTTCTGGGCACTTACCTAGGTTTACATGTTTTTATGTCATTCTTTGCTCATATTTTGCAAATCAGATTATTCCTAGCTAGGACTTAGGTGCTCAATGTGTGGACTTTATTTGGTGCTCAATGTCTATACTTCATTTTATCTTTAAGAGGAATTAGTCAGTTTTCCATCTACATAAAAAAAATGGCTGTACCCTGTTAGTTGCATTTGAAAAATGTGAGAAGATGGTCTTCCGTAATTTGCATGCAAGCTAGATCTGGACAAGTTTGGATTACCTTGTACCTGAAGGCTTTCCAAATTGAATGGAACTGAATGGATTCAGGACAAGAGAAGCAATAGCTTTTGAAACAGATCATAGACTCATAGTCCCATCCACGTCCATTAAGCACTCTACATGTCTCTAATCACATAGACCTTTATATCCCCATACTAAACCTGGACATTTAATTTGTTTCAGAATCAGATGTTGCAATCAGAACATCATAATTTCAAATTTCTCCAATCTATATGTTCATTAATTACATCATAAAAAGAGGAAGGGGTTCAAAGAAAATACTTTAATGCAGGATGACAGATCCATAATTGCATTAGGAGGCTACAGGGGAACATGGATACCATCAAGTGAGGGCTCTTGGTACTTCCTTAACCCTTTCAAGGCTGAATTAAGAAAACGAATAACTAGGACATTTTTCCACCGCTTTTTCTATCGAACAGGCCTAGCTAAAGACAGAGCTTGCAGAAAATTGCAAATAATTACTCATATATTAAAAATTGGAATTTTTTCATTACAAGAATCATCAACCGAAAATATTGAATAACAGGCCAATGTTCACACATGGGGAGTCCCTAAAAATTGGCCTTTGCCCCAATTATATCCATTCATTCCTGCAGCACGTAGGCATATTTTTCCCTTTTTTAAAAAAAAAGAAGAAAAAAAATTTTTTTTTTTCGGTCAAAATTCCATTTCACAAAAAATAATAAATATCTGGTCACAGCTTTTCTTTTTGATCCAGCTTGCCTGAACTACAACCTATTTGAATGAATGATGCATCACGGAAGAGCCCTTTTCAAGAGCTATTAAGTGGTACCAAATAAAACAAGTTTTGTTCAATGGTAACCACAAGAGCAGTCTCAAAAGATATGATCCTCATAATGATCTTACGCCATGAAAGGGTTAAGATTGTGCCTTTGGTTCACTACTCTGGTAACACAGAACATTGGAACAACATTGATTCAATGTTCACCTTTTCAATCCTTGATGTTTGCATACTTAATCCGCATTCAATCAATGTTTTTAAATGTTTTAATTATCCAATAAATTTGTTAAAATATCCAATGTTGTTTTCACATATGAACAGTCTACAGGATACAGAAACATTGTTTCAATATTGAATCAACATTGTCTACAAAAGGATGCTAGACCACTCAGGGGTGACCTTAGGATAATTGGAAATGGTCCATATATTTGTTTCCAAACAAAAAAATTCAATATTCAACACATAACAATAGATGTCATGCAACTCAAAAGTTGAGGAGTCAAAATTTTTCTACATTGAAGCAATATTATGGTAGGTTAATAGCACTCTGAAAACCTACAGGAGAGGTGCAACTTTTCATTAATTTAAGAGGGGTTAACAATGATGCTACATCTAAGAAATGTAATTTGAATATTCTCCAATTGGAATCCACAATGTGATGTGACAATATTCTATTAACATTGAAACAATGTTCACTTTCAACCCTCAACATTCGCTGACTCAATCCACATCCAATCAATGTTGATTCAATGTTATGTGTTACACATGCATGTATTTTACCTCCAGATATACTTCAGATATAAAGGACCCTGGAAAGCTTAATTGAAGCTGACTGACTTATAGCTGCTTTCATTGTAGAATATGAGGGGTGATTGAAAAGTTCTTGGCCTGAGGCACTTCCAGTTACAGTACACCATTCTTACTTTCCTTATGAGAAGACTGCTGTCTTTGATGGTGATTGGCAAATTTTCATCTCATTCGTCGATTAAATTCCATTATATATAAGCTTCCATTAATTTTTTTCCACATGCTACCAAAGGGTCTGCTGAAAGAGTATTAAAATTGAGAAGAATGCTGTGATGAATTTTCTAGCCTCCAAGGAGTCAATCTTTCAGCAGATCTCTAAGTAGCTGAGAGGATGAAGTCCTAGTGACCCTTCTCTGCCAGATCAGCTAGAAAAAAAGACTCCTTAGAGGTGAGAAAATTCATTGTGGCATTCTTCTCAATTTTAATACCCTTTCAGCAGACCCTTTGGTAGCACATGGAAAAAAATTAATTGAAGTTATATTTAATCGATTAATGAGATGAAAAATTTCCAATCACCATCAAAGACAGCAGTCTTCTTATAAGGAAAGTAAGAATGGCGTACTGTAACTGGAAGTGCCTAAGACCGAGAACTTTTCGATCACCCCTCGTATACAATAGAGATCATATTAAAAATAAAAAAAATGAACATGATTTCCTTCAATAGAATTCGTGAACAATTTTATTTAAAATCACAGAAATAGAAATTGAACTCATAATTTCCAAATATTCTTTGGTTAAGTTTCCTGAGGGGAACCAAACAAAAACTTTAAAATAAGACTAAGATCCAATGTCTTATTGGAAGAGAATTATGAAATATAGATGGAAAGTCAATAACAGATGATCCTGCCAAATCGTACAAGGAGGTACAATAAAGTAGGAAAATACTGAAATCCAAAATAGACCACTCACTTCTGCTAAGCAAAACATAGCAATCCAATTCAGGAAGAGGACAAGAAACATCTCATTCACACTTTCACTAGGCAATAGTGCTCAGGCATGGTCCCTAAGATGATAGGATTCAAGAATATTAAATGCAGTTTCCAATAGAAAAGAGAAGAGAAACTAAGTGACTTCAACAGAAACTGGATGTTGTATCTGTACTGGCCATATCACAAGATTATTAAGCTGATGTTTATAGATATGGAAATTTTAAGAATCATATGAAACTTCATATTCTTAAATTCAATTTTGCTGAGCACAAATGAAAGAATCCATATTCTGAGGGAGGTAAACACAACTACTGGGATGTGAGTTAATTATAACCATACGAGTAACACTTTCAATAGTTGAACTGCAAACTTTAAGGCTCTAGATAAAATCCTTGCATCAGCTTCCAATTTGGCTCTCTTAAAAATGCTGGTGATTCACCACAGCTTGCAACAAGCATCTTCATATTGCCATATAAATCTGTGAGTTTTCTAACATGGAAATGGCTATTATATGCTTACAATGTTTAACCCCTTAACTGCCCCGCTCAGGATAATTCAAGCACATAAGTTTCTCACTCCTTGTGGGCATTTAAACCGAAGATTTAAACAAGACTTCTGAAAACAGTTCAAGAATTAGTCCATTCCATCACTTATGCTATAACACATGTAAAGAGAACTCATCTTCATTAGTATGTATCTAAAACCCTAGTGGATTTTGAAGAAAAAAAAAACTCCAAGCTCAGAGATGCACAATGGCTATATATGCAATGAGCAATAAAAGGTTAAAAGCACCATAAATATCTGATCCTGAATGAATGTAAAATTTTGTTCATGGCAATTTAAGTTTTAGCTGTTAGTTTCAACCAATAGCTGAAACTTAACCCTCTCATGCATGAGTATCACTAAAGGAAAGATAGAGTTCGCATTTAAAATTAAACTTTTGAGACAAATTGCACTCATCAATGCATGAAGGTCTCGCATGAAGACAGCAGTTTGTTCTTCCTAACAAAATCTATTGGTCAACACATGGCAAGAGCATTAAAAACTCAGTATCTGCCTCTAAAACAATATAAATCATGAACAATTTCTTCAATATTTATTTAAAAAGCTCATGCATGAGAAGGTTTAGTTTACAAGGATTACATTACACACACACACACAGCACCATTACGCCATCACTGCTAGAGAGCCATAGCCATTCTTTGGAAGACTTAGTTTCTAGTTAAAGGTTCTTGTTTGTCTCCATTAGTCCCTTATCATTTGTACACACACACACACACACACACACACATATATATATATATATATATATATATATATATATATATAGTTTCACAAGACACAGCTAAGCTATCTTTTCTCATGATAACTTGTCATCCACTGGATCATACTTATCAGAAGTAGCACCAAGAATTTGATTGCATTCAGGGAAATACTCTACAAATACAAACAAATATTGGCTCAAAATTATAACTGCTTCACAGCTTGCTGTTTCACCTTCCAATGGATTTTCCTATGGGCCTTCAAATCTTCTTTGAAGGCAAAGTACAGATGACAGATATCACACTGGTTATAATACTTGCCTTTTCTTCTGGTCAAGCCATTTGAGCTATATTGATGATCATTCAATACAGCACCTGGATTTGCAAGAGAGCTTCCCTTCTTTGGCTTATTCATTTCATGCACCTGTTCTTCATGATCTGCAAAAGTAACAACACCAAATACAGCATTTTGGAATTCAGAATGAACATAGTAAATTATTGAAATGCTTTGAGAAGTTCATTTCTCATTCTATCATGCTTGAAGAGAGTAATGTAGTGAAACCCTCCCATCATCACCCAGATTCAGTCACTTTTCTCAGCGGTTTCAATATCAGTATGCTTTCATCCAGTAGAGAATGGAAGAAAGGCAAGCATATGTTACATATGAAAGGAAACATGTAAAGCATTTAAGGCACAGGGTTGGGTAGAAACCAACCATATTGTGTTAGAATATTTAGGAATAAGTGATGCTAATTGTTCCATTTCACTAAATGAAACTAATAATATTTTGTTTAATTTTCATTCAAAATTCTTTGTTTCATGTTAGCAACAAAAACTTGTAGGTTGAAGTTCTGATCAATGTGAATGACTCATGAATGTTAAAGCAAATCCTGTAATACTGGTTGCTCCTGTCTCCACTCCAGAAGCAAAACAGCTATGTAGATGAAAGGAAATACTATTCAAACAACAAAACCAAGAGAATCAAACAGATCTAGATAGTGTAGAGTTCAAGGAACAAAGGCAAGGATAGGCAAGAAACAAAGTTGACTTATAGGAGCATTGACAAAGTTGGATGGCAACATGGAAAAAGGCTGAAGAATAATTAGAAAAGCAACCAAAAGACATTAAAATTTCCCACATTATGCAGATATTCTACTCTGGCATGAATGCTGCTCTGCTCATAATACTTATATTTTGATCATTCCATAAATCCTGAGCTGATTTCTTGAATTAACCAGCATTTTCACACAAGGGAATTTGAGAATCGATGCAAAACCAGAGGAGGTCCTTTCAGATGTGCTCAACTGACATTCATAGCCTTTGCAGAATGGGCTGATTCTCTTCTTTTACCTAGAAGATGTTACAAAGAAAAACAAATGATAAGGGACTAATGGAGACAAACAAGAACCTTTAACTAGAAACTAAGTCTTCCAAAGAATGGCTATGGCTCTCTAGCAGTGATGGCGTAATGGTGCTGTGTACAACCCAAACCCTAGTCATTGGCATAAAAATATACCACTTGCTCTCTGAGTGTTATCATAACCCTTGAGAATAAATCACTTTCTCCTCATGTGCAACCCCTCTTTAAAATAAAGTAGTGCCAGTCCCAAGGGCAGGAAAATACCTTGCTCCTCATAAAATCCACTAGTTTTGATGTTGAAAGCTGTTGTGCACTTCAAAAATGCAAAGGACATAATACTTAATTTTGCATAATTTCCCATATTTTATACAATTGAGAAAGTGACTAGAATATCTAATCATTAATTTATATGGTATGGGGATAGGCATTACTTAGGGGGAAAGGGAGGAAGAGGGAAGTGGCACTTTATTGGCACTTTCCTTGTCAGACTTTCATTGAATGAAGGGCATTAAAACCTGAAGAGAAAATAATACAAAATCAAACTATGAGCCAATGTGATGTCTTGCAGCTCATATGCAAAAGCTCAATCTACATATGCCAAGGTCTACAGTGTTTTTGTGATGAGTTCACACACCCCCAAAAGGGCACTGGCATTATTGATGTTTTTGAACTAATGTTAAATAATCCCACTTCCTTGCCTCTGTAGTTACAGTCCTCTTGATCCCCTTTGAAGTTGATTCTAAAAAATGTATCTGGGCAGGAACCAGATGAACTTAGACATCCTTGTGTACATCTGTACCAGCCATAGCTGTGAATAACAATTTTAAAAAAATTCAATGAACTCACCTACAAAATTATCATCTAAGTGGAACTCCAAATCTTCAGCTTTCACAAAGAAGTCAGCTGGAGCACATTCTTCAATGACCATCTCTTCAACAACTAGGCCTATCTCAATTGTAGTATTTTGTCCTCCCTCAGATTCAGCATTTGATCCTGTTCATGAGGGATTAATTATTAATATGACAACATGTAGCACTACCAATATGTTATATTGACTATGATGAGCTCTCTTATGGCTGTATGATCATAAGTTGCACATGGAAGGGCTGCATGAAACTTTACAGATACCAACAGTCAAGGAATCAACAATAGAGAAGTAAAGATGAAAGTAAATGAGCCCATATAGTGTATTTAATACTATTCAGTTTAGTTTTAAGTTTGCCAAGTTGCCATTAACTGGAGATGATGTCATGATTCTTGGTAAACAATCTGGCTGTAACCCTTTCACATATGAATTTTTAGAGCAAAAGAAAAATAGGGATTTTTTGGTTCAATGTTTAAGGAGGTACTCTGGCATAGTAGTCGCATGTTTCACTGCTAGAAAGCAACACTGAAGAAATTATGTGCCCTTGAGTTGACTGCATACACCAAAAGTTTCCAGGTACGTGTATCATGGATAAAAAAACCATAATCATCGCAAAAATTTTGCCATCAACTATAGTGGACACCATGCGTGAAAGGGTTAAGTGAAACCAGCTCACATTAAAGGTCTATATAGTCATTTCAGTTTTTCCTATGATTTGTTAATGGGAGTCTGAAGGGCACTTCTTGTTTAGCTCTACAGTCTTAAGTCTGAAAAGAGAAATGTGATTTCATTAACTGTTGTTTCTTTTGTTCAAAGACTTCATTTCAGTGTTCAACATGAATGGGTGAAGTGACTCAATAAATGCATTAAGACAGAAGGACATCATATTGAGCATATTTTGTAAATATATAGTTCTACAATATAAAATGTAATAAAATCACCTTTCCCTATATTTATAGACTTAAGACTCACCCTGTATTTTAGTTTCAGTGAATTGAAACTAGGATAGTTCTACTCTGATATAGTTTCAGTTCCAGATACACGCTATATTGGAAAAGTAACTCTACATGGATGGTTTAGCTGCAGTTGTCTCCAGTGGCAGTTAACTGGAGACTAACTGGCACTAGGGATTAACCACTTAACAGTTTTTTTTTTGCAATGAATTGAAACAAAAATGGCAATTTTTTGTTGTAGATTTTGACTTTATAGACTTTGTTTTAACAAAAATATGTATGTGTAACATATTTTATTCATTTATTTGGGCAAATCATAAACGAAACACGAGTTGCCCATGTCTCATGCAGGCAAGTCAGTTTTGGGAAGGACAATGTTGCCTGCATCAGAGATGGGCATGGGCAAATCATGGAAACGGTTCAGTGAAAATGAAACTAAGCAGGACAATATTAAATCACTTGTAGCAAGGCATAATCCAGAGGGGTTGCACAATGTTTCACTCAAGGCATAACCAATGTGGTTGCAGTAAAACAGTGAAATAACCTTAAATATGCATTTTTGATTGTGGGTAAGAAATATGGTACTAATGCTGGCCAATCATGACAATTGATGAATTTGGAACTATAGAGATGAGGTAAATTTGATCCTGAGAATTTCAACAGTTTTTGGCTTTCCTATAAGAAGGATTTCTGTTGCATTTAGTCTTTCTCCTAGATAGAGTAACACTATAGTTCGCTTGGTTTCCCTGGTGCATTCTCCCATTATAGCTGAAACGATGTCAAAATGTAGTAGTGGAGAGAATTTTTCCTGCCCCTGTATATTTTATAGTGCTTTGAAGTGTGCCAGGATATCAAAATTCTTAAATATGCAATGAAACTTCAACAACTAGAATCTCCAATGAAATTGGAAAGAAAATATGAATCATTTGATATTCTATATAAAGAAGTTTTGTATTTTTTGCTCATTTACCTAAACTTAAAAAGAAACAATAAAAACTTTGTAATGTAGTAGTAGTAGTAACTCATTCAGACATTTCCAGTTAAGTGCTGTGAGAGGCACACAACAGATGGTGATTACAGCATGAGAAAGAGTCAAAGCCATCTTCGTGAGACATTCAATCCAGAACAGTATAGCATAGTAATGATTAGCAGGCCAAACATTATGTAGTGCCTCATGAAACAAGAATATGAGTCACAGGATCAAATTTTGTGCTTGGCATGATGAGAAAATTGACTCAAAAAATTCTACTTAATACATAGTAACAGGCAAGTAGGTAGCAAACTAAAAATCATTGACTTTGCTTGGATATCAGTCAACACCAATTCATTAGAAGTGCTCCATGCAAAGGTCATGTTCATATTGAAGTCAAGAGAAAAAATGTTTGATTCAAGTGAAAAACACAGTAGAAATTAAGCAATTAAAGTTTCACTGCATTTTGCATCCTCACCATTTGCATTAGCTTTCATGTTCCTCTCCTTTGAACTCTCACTTTTTAATGCATGGATACCAACTTCAAAATATATTTATCTCTACATAACCATACATATGGTGACAGATTGAGCCATCTGCTCAATAAGTACAATGTAGCCCATTCGTAATGGTAAAATTTGTAGACAGGTGGAAGACATACTTTAACCCATTCCATTCCTTTGTCAAACTGAGTTTGCAATTGGTCAGTGTTGTGAAAAAATGAAGTGGAAATGGTTACCCCTTTAAGTACTGAGACTGTGTAGTCTGCTATAGATGAGTAAATAGACTTTACATGCATATGTGTTTTTCTTATTTAACCATTGAGCACTGCCATTGTGTATGTGTGATTGCTCTGAGAGTTACCTGTGAGCTTTCAGCGTTCTCCAAATTTTTTACTAACAAGAGTTCATTTTCAGCAAAATAACTAAGTCTGAGGGGTATAGCCCACTGTACTTAATGCAATACTTAAAAGGTTAAGTAACATTTACCTATTTTATTATGGATTGGTAGTGATGGTAAATACATTGTGACCTGTGCAGTCATGAGGTATACTCCATGCATCATATACTGGTAATATAATTGTAAGCTTATAGCTTTTTTACCATGATCCTTACCTGTAGGTGAGTCTGCTGTAGATGGTAGGAAGTACTCTTTCATCAGTTCCTCCAATGACATGGGCACATTCAATGTCACCCTCTTCACCTAAATGATGCACTGATTTTATGTATTTCCACAGCTGAGACAAAGTTTATATATCAAGGCAGATCAAGGCACTGGAGTCATATGAACTGAAGTCTCACCTTCTTCATTCCTTTTCCTATTTCATGGTCAAATTGTGAATGCTTTTTAAGGATGCCCCTTGGTTGTGGCATATCACCAAATAATCCAGGCACATAGAAGAAGAAGTCAGGTATTTCTGATTCAAAATTTGGTTGATTTTTGTCAGCAAACTCCAATCCATGATTGTTGGCAGTGGACTCAACACCTTTGAGCTTGCAATGGGGTTCAATGGCACCACTCTCTGAATAAGTCAGGGTCAATTCATTGTTTCCCTCATAGTCTGAAAATAATTAGCACATGTTATTGATACAACCAATGAAGCATGCATAGAATGCTCATGGGAAGGATGTACAACTCTCCATTCTCTCCATTTTCAGGCTTTTCACTCCCTCTTGGAAACTGCCTATTCAGGCTGCTCCAGGGATGTTTCATGCTATGCAATAGTTTAGAAGCATAACAAACTACATCTGACTTTTCTGGTTCAGGTTCATTCTGCTTCTCAAGGCTGAACTCAACTTCAGAACATGAATTAGTTCTGGTCTCAGGAAATGTTTCTAAGATACATCAGACAAGGTTGAATTCTGTATGACTTTGTCTTCAAGATTTATCTCCAAGAACAAAGTTGAAAATCAACTGAAGATCATAGCCATGCTGCATAGCAAGGAAAACTGCATTCATGCCAACATCTTAATAGTTGGGCCCATATTCATAAAGTAGGGACAATTTGAGCTAATACCTTGGTGATGCTCCTTATCATCCTAAGTATCTTTCAGAATTTTTTTGGAACCCAAGAACAATAATGAAGAAAAGTACTGCTTTGTTTGTTTAAAACTTCCATAGAGCCCCATTATAAGAAAAAAATTTGTTTGCAAAAATTCCAGAGGTCATGCGTATTTATTTAATATTATCAAATTGAAACCTAGAGATTTCAAATATACATGGTATCCCAAAAGTCACTGTGCACCTGGTGCACTATTCTATATGTACCAGGTGCACATTGAATTTTAGGAAACCCTGTATAATGAGTGAAATGTCAGAACATAATTTTTATTATGACATATGCCTGAATATTTGACCCAGCATTAAATTAATTCATGAAAATTTGTGGTTTTGCCTCAAAACAAGATCCCTCATAATTATAAAAGTAATAACTCTTGAAAAAAGCAATTTTAAAACAAATCTATGCAGAAAACGCATGCATGTATGACATAAGCTAATGCATAAAAAATTTCTGCTTTTTTGTTCAGCTGAACATGTTATCATTGTTGGCATAAAAAGAAATATTCAGAGCACTACCCAGATTCACCAGTAGCACTAGTGCTACTGTTGATGCTTGGGTGGCTCTGTCAATTCTTGATACCATGCAATGTTGCCAGTTGCCTGCACCCCAATGTAAGCTCGGTTTTAATTAGAATGAGACAATATGTTAACATGAGATACTGCAAGTGATGAGACTGCTATACTTCCATGCTTTACCAACTCACCATTCATTTGCATCTTCTGATCCTTGAAACTCCTAATTGGAGATTTCTTCAGGATACTCACTGCCTGCTTGGTGACATCCAACTCCCATCAGTAGGGGGACATCACTGACTAATTTATTGGCTGGTAGCACTGATTTCTCCTGATCAAAACTTATTTGTTCTACACCATAACTCTTGGAAGTCAATGAGGTCTCATTGGATAAACAATCTGGATGGAGTAGAACTGAATTTGCTGGAAAAAAAAAAAACACAAACTACCAATGACCTCTGCCTTGCAACAAAAAAGAAAGGAAAAAAATCTCAAAAATTGTCTACATCACATCAGGCAGAAGCTACAACATTGACATAAACTTAAGAAGGATCATTTCTTTACTGCTTTAGTTTTGAAAGATCATACAAAAATCAAAATTGCAAATGCTGGACTCCACCCATTGAGGAGTCCTTCATTTGCATGGTAGCAAATGAATTTGGGATGCTTTTCATGGTTTTCTTCATCTTCATTGAAGCAGTGAATTGATTCCCCAAGAGTTCTACATATGATGTAAATGAAATCTCAAGTGGAATACACTTCGTTTGCAGCAGTTATACAGGGTAATCCAAAAGTCATGCACACCAACCATATAGGCATACTTTTTCCCACTTACAGAAATCATTACAACCATAGACTCATTACATTGCAACACTGGTGAAGAGTGGCAATGTTGGACATTACATTCACACCCACAGCAGCTGGACCTTGACTGGCCATAAGGCCTCAATTCTTAGTTCTTCCTTGAAGAAGGATGCCGCTTTTGCAACAACAGCCTGTGTTTATTCTTCAACATTATTTCATGACTAAATCTTAGGCACAGTGTCAGTCAGCATTTGCAGAAGAATTTCCTGAAGCAGAAACACCAAATAACTCGACAATAACTTGTTTAATAACTCCTGGAGAAGAAGTATTTCCAGGATATTTTGTTTGGTGTGTACCAGGTGTTGCACATAGATAGCCTCCAGAGCCTAAACTATAGGTGCTGGAAAAATTTAAAAATATACTTGGGGAATCCTTGTTCAGTTTTGAATCTATTCCATTCCTTTTTTTTTCTGTCATCTAATGATGAAGAACTTAGATTCATTGATTGCATCTGTGCTATTATGTTTCAAGCTCATGATGGCAGAGCTAAGAAAGACTCATGGATTGATTTTTTTTTTGTGGAAATGTTAAAGGGTCTGAAAACTGCTGATCTGAATGTGGCTGAGAACATTGGGGTTATCCTGAAAGACCAAGTTGAGGCTCAAGAGCAAGGAGGGCAAGCAGCATGGATTCTCCTGGGAAGCCTTGCAAAGCGACATCACCAGAGTGTTGGACGTGGAATATGACACGGAACTCTTAAAGAGCCTCTTTTCATTTTACCCTGCTCGTATTTAAGCTCTCAGAGACAGAGCCAGGGTGCACACAAATTAGGAGAAGTACAAGCTTAGATTCGAAAATGAATGCTCTTTCTCATGAGGTGTGAGTTTTTTTCCTAGCTCTTATATTGTTTAATATAAGAGCTAGGAAAATCAATAGTTTAGGCTGTGGTGGGGGGGGGGGCTATCTATGTGCAAAACCCAGTACTTATTTGGTGTGTGTGACTTTTGGATCACCCTGCATCTCATTTGAATGCAACCAACTGAAATGAAATACTAACCAACCACTTCATCTCTCAAATTTTCCATTTCATGTGCCTTTGGGCTGCTACTGGATGAACTTCCATTATCTTTCACCAGAGTATCCCAGAATTTTCCCTGCCAGAGTTCAACAAGACAAGTTGATGAGCAACACTGATAAGCAGGATGTTAATACAATGTTAATAGTCAATGACAAAATCCATTAACAACAGCATTAGGGGACAAACTGAAATTAAATTCCAATTCACAAGATATAGTCAAATCATAACCAGAGGGAACATCAGGTCCTGTGTGCATGGTTTGCTTTAATTAAGGATGTGTGCATTTGGCCTTTTTTTATTAGAGTCAGGTACTATATTAATCACTCCATCACCACCATCTTTTTTTTTTTCATTCAGATGCAGTTTGATATTAGTTAGGCTGAGAGGCCCCAAAAAGGGCATCTCAGCCCAACTAATATCAAACTGCAAATCTCAAATCTTACAGTTACCCCAAACTACTCAATGCCACTCAAGAGGCATTGGTGTTGTCATTAAAAATGGATGCACAGATTGGCTAAATGCATACTACCATCCAAAATGGCTATAGTTTAACTCTTTTGCTGTGGTGGTGGACTTTATTTACACAGCAGGTAGTCTTCCCTAACCCATATTGATTCTACTATGTAGCAAAAGTGTTAAATGGACTGAAGAGAGAGAAAATGAAAGGAGAATGCCTATGAGAAAGCAAACAGACTTAAAATTTTCAGCCTGGAGGATTCAAGTATGCTAATGGCTTTCAGGATGTCAAATGATAGGGATAAGCTTCGAAGTGTTGAATATTCAGCACTTGGAAGTGTCATATGTCACATATATGTTCTCTTCCCCAAGCCTAACAGTAAATGCCACAATTAGTGCATCACTGAGGGATGGTTTTAAGTTCATGAGCATTCACCAGCCTGAGCATCAAATCCTACAACTCAGAGTGATCCGAGTGTAACACACATGGTCTACAGAATCAGAGCTGTGACAAATTAGCAGAATGATGATAAGCTTTTTGAATTATTACTATCCTACACAGCACAGTGATATCCCAGGGATGTTCCTAACTGGACAACTTGTCCCATGATCTTTATAGGATGTCCTTAAGACATCTTCTTTTGGACAGTTTTGGACATCTTGTAAGGGATGTATTTGGGATATCTCAGAGACATCTTTTAGATATCTTTAGTTGGTATCTTAGAGATATCCCTTTTGGGATATCTTGAAGACCTCTACAGTCAAATGTTTCTGGATATCTTCAGGAGAATGTCTTCGGGACATCTTAGGGATGTCTTTAGGGATCTTTAGTGCTCTTTGTCACCTTCAGTCAGGTGCATACCTTGAATGGTAGATGTCTCCTGTGAGACCTGATCTGCAACCTCAGATTTTTTCTATGAAATTTATCTACTTGATTTGTCCTGAGGGTAAGTAAGGATTTTTGTACCATACATCAGGAAAACTGCCACTAGGGAAAGTGAAAAAATTGCAGTCTGAACTTTAATTTATTCAGCTATATTCTATTTAATGATGTCTGATCGGCATGTCTGGATACAACTATTTCGGTTGGAGGCCTGAGCCCATACTTTCTTTTTAAGAGGTGTAAAGTTAAATCATCTTGTCCATTGATCCCTCATGTAAAGGTGCTAAATTTCTACCCTTGGAGATGTGTCTCCTATGATGGGGCCCTTTAGGAACAGGATTTTCCCCTCCCCCCATAACTGTTACTCTTCATTTGGTCAAGAACTTAAGATTAGGTGTTTCTGTATTAAATAGAGACATTTTCAAAAGTAACTAGTTCTTCTGTACAGTAGTCCATTGCGGATAGGAAGGCACCTGCAAGTACTACCTGGGGCTTCTCACTTGTTCCTAGGTGATATCTCTGGTACATCCTTCGATCTGGTACTACTTGTGCTGCAGGAAAAAGATCCTTGGGATGTCTTTATGCCCAGACATTTTGATATCTCTGAGATATCCCCACAAGTAATGTCCAGGACTTGTCCCAAGGGGATATCCCTTGGACATCTCTGGGATGTGCTACTTCTTCAAGAAAGGGACATCCTTGGGATGTCATTGCACCCAGACATTTTGACATCCCTAAGATGTCCCTAGAAGTCATCTCTGGGACC